CATTCCTACTAGCGAAGGAAGGTCGTCGGAACCGGGCTTCATAGGGTGGATACGTTTAGAGGGAAGACACTTGGATTCCTAAAGTGAGTAACCTCAATCCGTTGAAGTTATCAAACCGGGAACCGATTCCCACAATCCACATCGTCGTTGAAGGAGTTCAAGACATACGGTAAATATTTGTACTGGTACTTAATTTTATATAACAAATCAAAATTTGTATATGATGCATGTTTTAAAGATGACGATCAGTTAATTCGCAATTAGTATGTATGGGTGTTGTATTTATACGATAAATACTTATTTTGAAAAATTTTAAATTCCGCTGCTTAAAGCCCGTACGGTACTAGCGAACCCAACAGTCTCGGTTACCTTCGGGATCTTCTACTGTATCACTCAAACACCTCTTCAATTTGTACCCGTGGAGCAACAAGAAGAAGATAAAGCTTGAATGGAATTCTAGAGAGAGAAGAGAGAGAGACGCGAGTCGTGTGTGTATATTCACGTTAGGAGACTTCTGTTCTTTTCTATGTCTATTCCATGAGCTTAATGATGTATATATAGAGCTACAGTAGGGATCCTTAGAAGAATAGGAATAGGGCTTCTTAAGTAATGGACTAACTGTGGGCCAGACCCAATCCTCCAATTACTTAAATAATATTATGGTCCACTAACATAATATTATTGCACTCACTTTTCCTATCCCAAATTACATTTGGAATTCCAATAATAATTATCCGAATTACCTCCTTATGTTTAAGATATAAGGTCCATTAATTAATTTGATTAAAGTAATAAAAAATTAATTAATGTATTATATTACCAAAGCTAGCGCTGTTTCATTGCATTATTATTATTCCGTATTTTAATTTACCTGCAGGGTTTAGCATAACAATCATTCATGAACTCACTTCGGGGACATCATCGAACTAACGCACATGGTGACCGTAAATATCCTAACAACACATCATACATACAACAATATTACCCAAGATAATAAGACTATTGATCCAACGAACTGAACATCATCCAAGTGAATCAAAGAATAAGTATTGTATGTATATGTCTGTTTTAATTAAAATTATCAGCAACCTCATTTGAGACGTGTGATTCAATTTATTTAGGAAAAAATATTTTTGTTAAATAATTTCGGATCGAATATATTGGTATCGATCCATTAACAAAATCGTGTATATCAAATAAACATATTTGATAGTAAATTAATAATGTTTTATCTCTTTAAACAAACATTTTAAAAAAGATATGGTAAATCAGTTATATGTTTATCTGTTTAACAAACCTTATCATTATGGTATGATATTATTTAAGAATTATTGGCGACATCATTTGAGATATGTGATTCATTCTCTTAGATTAATTTATTTTTTTAGAATGCTTTTTTCTTGGATAATAACTAACAAATTCGAGTGAATTTAGCTATAAATACGCGTTAATCCGAGGGAAAAAAACAAGTTCAAATCAATTTCTACTCTACTAGTACGGTACTCGTGCGATGCACGGAAGCATTTATTTTTTAAAAGGTATTTTTTTATTTAAATTTTCTCATGGCATTAAAATTATCATGAAAATGAAAATTTATATGTTATTAAACACTTCCTTATGTACAACATTATTTGTTTGATTCATTGACACGTAAAATACTACATAGGTGTTCGAATTTTATTTAAAATTGTATATTATTAGTTATTAGTTAACAAATTCTAAAACAATTAAAGGATCTTATTAATTAAACTAATTATAGTAGAAAAAAAGTATAAATTTTTAGGGATATTTACCCATTATTTATTTTAAATCTAATTCTAAATTTCAATTAAAAAATTAAAAAGAATCATTAATTACTTCAGAAAATAAAATCTATTTTTCTACCAATAAACCGATTTTTTAATCAAACAAATTGATCCGAATATTTTTAAACCAAATATAAAATCATCAATTTTTCTTAAAAATGCAACCGAATTTTTCTAACACTGCACCGATTTTTTTACCAAACAAATTGAATTGAAAATAATTTTAATAAAAAATTGAAACAAATTGTTAATGTTTATGCAACTGTCTCTTTCCTAAAGAAAATGATATGAACTTACCAAAATCTCGGTAAAACATGGTTAAAAGAATCCAAAAAAATCGATGCATTTAAATTTTGAAAAGTTTGCACACAAAACTTTCCTAAATAACTGGATAATGTGACTTTAAATATCAAAGATGAACCGCTTTTGTTACCAAAAAATGTGGACACAATTTTGAATGTACATCCTGTCTAAATATCAGTTTTATTCTAAAATAAAAATTGCACGTGGTTTTATCCAATTTACGCACTTTTTTTTGAAAGAAAAAATTATTCAATAAGATTGGAATAATTGGTTAAGAATTATACAATATTTGTTTCCTAAATTTGTATCCAATTTGTATGGTTTTTAAGTTAATTTGTATTTAGAATTGTTTTCATAAATAATTGACACATTTTTTGCATAAGAATCTCCAAATTTGTTATCAAAAAATATATGATTTAAATTTTGATAAAAAAAATATAATACGAAAAAAATGGGATTCAAATTTTGTCATAAGAATCTCCAAATTAGTTACTAAAAAATAGGATTCAGATTTTGTTACTAAAGATTCACATGTATTTTTTCGAACTTTCCATTAATAGTAAGTCAAGCATTATATTTATTTGGTCAAACTTTCTATTAATGTATTTTTTCAACAACCTCTTTATATATATATCTATCTATATATATATATATATATATATATATATAGGATGTGGTTCAAATGAGAACCAAGTCCTAGTGTGAGAACCGTGAGAACCCCTATTTTTAATCGTATGTAGTGCCATGATTAATTGTGTTTTAGTGCTATTTTTAACTAGGATGTATTTGATTAAAAATAGCAACAAAATTTTTATTAGAATTTATGAAAATGATAGCAGCATGTAATATTAAAAATAGCATCATACACAATTAAAAATAGCATCAAATATGGTTCTCACGGTTCTCACACCAGACATAGTTTTTATTTGAACCAGCCCCTATATATATATATATATATATATATATATTTTTGAGGAAAAACCGTACGCAACTTTACAAAATTTGATCATACCCATAAATTGTTGATTATTTTTTCTTAATCAAATTTATCGAGATTTGGCGAATTAATTTCAAATAAATTGTTTTGGAATAAAAATTGATGCATCTTTGATATTTACACGATATATTTTAAGAAAACACGTGAGATTTTATTGTTTAAAACCTTAATATGTTGATGACAATATTCAATTCAATTTTTTGGTAATAATATGTTGCACATTTAGGAAAAATCGTTTTATTCCTTTTACACGTACATAACAATTTTTTTGATATTTTGATTAAATAATTTCGATCGATTATTGTGGTATCAATGAATATAATCGTGTATATCCCATAAACATGTTTGATAGTAAATCAATTATGTTTATCTCTTTCAATTATATTTATCTCTTCAAATAAACTATCTTAAACCTTCTGTACATAAAGTTTTGTTCAATAACATATAAATTTTATTTTCATGATATTTGTAATGTCATGACCATTCCTTTACTAGACGATTTAAATTTAAAATTACTTTTTAAAAAACAAGTAGTTAATAAAAGCTCCGGCAGATACACTAGTACATAAAAATACAATGGATGGATAAACAAAATAAATTCTCATATGTGTTAGTTGTTCTTGCGTAGAGTGTGATTCCATACCATTAAATCTGAAGCAAATGAAGACATAAAACTCACAAGACTCGGAACAATAAACACTAGTAANAAACTAACTTGTCATTTTATCTTTTCACCCCAACATGCTACTTCAAAAGCACCTCCTTGATCAACTTGTCCAAATTCAAGTAGGAAGAGCCCCCAACCTTAGCCGCCTCCTCCGCCAACTTCTTCCATTCCAAGGCCTTCTCCTTCATCTTCTCCCCCTTCTCACCCCCCATGATTTCCCTCACCAAAACCTCCACCTCATCCCTCTTCACATCATTATCAATCTCCATTCCGATTCCCCACTCCACGCAGCTAAACCGACAGTTCGTCTGTTGCTCGGCAAAAAACGGCCAGCACACCACCGGAACCCCACCCACTATACTCTCCAACGTCGAATTCCACCCGTTGTGCGTCAGAAACCCTCCAACTGCAGGGTGACTCAGCACCTGTTCCTGAGGGCACCAACTTACCATAATGCCCCTATCCTTCGTCTCGGTCAGAAACTCTGGCGGCAGCATTGCAGAGTCGCCTGCAACGATATCTGGTCGTATGATCCACAGAAAATGGTACTTGCTATTTGCAAGGCCCCATGCAAATTCAGTCAGCTGTTGAGCTGTCACGACAGTGATGCTTCCAAAGTTGACGTACACAACAGATTTGGGCTCTTTTGTGTCGAGCCACTGGATACAGCCGGAGTCCTCCTTCCAGAGGCTCGATTTCATGGAGTCGAGCCGTTTGTCTTCGATGTGATTGGTCATGAGGTGGAGGGGTCCGATTGGGAGCACACATGGGTACATGGAGGAGAGAGTGTCTACAACGTCTTTCTCTAATGCGTCGAACGTGTTGAGGATTAGGGCTTTAGCTCTAGGGATGGCATCAGTTTCTTGAATGAGAAAGTTAAGCATGATGTCGTCTGGGTCCGTGGTTCGAATAAAGGATGGGAAGTCTCTTAGCTTGATGTCTTTCATGCCGGGGACCCAATCGATGGTTTTATCGAGATAGCCATCGGTTACTTGGCTCATGTCTGCATATCAAATTTTATGTGAATTTAGGTAGGAACAGAAATATTATTCGAATAATCTATCTCGTTGTTTATATATATAAATATTATAAAGGATCCGCCTAACTATACTTTTAATTATGCTGAGTAAAATTAATATTTAAAAAATAATATATATTACATCAATAGTAACAAGTAAAGATAATGCCAAATGTTTTGACAATAATGATATTTAAATGGTGTGGATGATTAACATGCCCGCCCGGCAGGGCAAACTTCTTAGATGGGTCGATATTGACGTATGACTTGAAAGACAAGTGAGATATATATATACCACACACATATGTAAGACAAGCGCATTAATGCAAACTTTGTCCCACCGATATTGAAAATCAAAGTCAAACAGCTCAAATTTCTGGTATGACTACTTGAGTTGTCTGCTGCCTGCAGCCCACTTCTCATGATTACCTTTGCCAATTTTTCAATAGAAATCATCACACTAATTGGAAATAGTAATTCAGAATATTTGAATATATTGTCGGCCGTTATAACTTCTAATGATTAACTTTGACACATTTTCAATAGAAATAATCACACTAATTGGAAATGGTAATTCAGAATATTTGAATATATTGTCGCCGGTTATAATTGCTATTATGAATTGATGAAAGGTCGTGGTTCCTTTTGTTAAAATCACACTAGTTGGAGATCACATATAATTCCCTCGTATATAATTTTCGAATGTGTTGAGTCTAAATAACAGGCTCGCATGATTCAGGATCCTAAGTGATAAAATTTCATGTTTCATTATTTGGCTTGGACAGATTTAAATTTAGTTTCAATCTAAAAATAATTAGGTCCAAGTTATTCATAAATATATTTATTATTTATGGTTATTTTAAATAAATTATTTGTATTTTAATATTATTTTCTATTATAACCATTCAATTATAAATGTATTCTAAGAGTTAAAAACTTTTGTATTTCTTATAGGTTTTGCATAAATATAATATATCAAATTAATCATCTTTTGATGAGCTTCGGTTTGACATTCATATTGTATGAATAAAATTAAGAAATTATAATTATTTTTAAAATAATAATAAAATTATTTATTAATATTAATTAAAAATAAAATTATTTTTTAATTAATATATTTATATTTAATGTAGTTATATGGTATAAGTTAGAAAACTTATTATAATATAACACATGTAAGTCTTTCTTATAATATAAAACATCTAAATCGCACAAGTAACAAGTGTCATTCTAAAATATATAATAACAGATATTTTTATAGAACGTACTAAAAATTTTAACCACTTTTTCTCCTTAATTTTAAAATTTAATTTTTTTTTAACAAGGATCCATAATATACACGAGTATTGTATTAGTTTATAATATAAAACAATATAAAAGCACATATAAGAATTGTATGATTAATCAAATGAAGTAACAGCATAGGCAACCTTAACCATGTATAGTTGATGTGATAATTAAATCTTTGTTAATTTATCAAAACTAATCTGAATCTCGTGCAGTGCACCTTAACCATGTATAGTTGATGTGATAATTAAATCTTTGTTAATTTATCAAAACTAATCTGAATCTCGTGCAGTGCACGGGTAAGAGATATTCATTAATATTTATAAATAAAATATTCTTATTAAATAATATTTATAAATTAAAAACATGGAATCAATATGTAATATAATTTACCTATATTGGTTTATTAAAAATGTTATATAAAGTTTAAATTATACAAGATTACATAAATCTGTTTAAAATTAGTACACAATCCGTTCGGTGCACATAATTTATAATAAATTACATTATATTCGTTTCAAAATTTTTATTCAGAAATTCAATTTGACTATAATGTAATTTCATAAAATAGTTATTTTGGTAAAATTTTATCATATACTTAACAACCTATGTGAATAATAAGTATAAATGTAAAATTTATATTTTTTAATTAATTAAAATAAATTTATTTTTGTATAAATTATTCAAATAAAAAAAATTAAGTAGTCTAGTAATTTATTAAACTATAAATAATTGACTATTTCATTTACGTTCAAGACAATATTGACCCGTAAATTATTGAGTAATTTATTAAACTATAAATAATTGACTATTTCGTCTACGTCCAAGTTAATATTAACCTGTAAGTTATTAATAATTATTTTTTTTTATTTTTAAATTTAAAAAAATATTTTTATTTTTTTAATATATTATATACCAAATTTAAAGCATGCAACTAATAAAGATAATAGCAACAAGTTTTGTCAATACATTATATACTACATTTAAATCATGCAACTAATAAAGGTAATAGCCGCAATATTTGATCAAAATGATAATGTATATTAATTACATTAATTTATGTGGAATTTTTCAAATTTTGGCCAAAAAAATTACCCAATTTAGTAAATCTGAAATTTTAGACAAGAAATTAAATATTATTTTAAATAAATATTATTGCCTATTTATATATTAATAGATAATTGAAATTGTTACGTCAATTCAATTACTGAAAGCAATGAAATAAAATCCGTATTAAGATTTCACAGATTCCTAACAAATTTATTTTTTTATTTTTTTGGTACAACTAACAAAATTATTTGAAGCAGCGCAAGTGGGCAACTTGAAGTCCAAGAGCGGAAAAAACTCAAAACTCAAAAGTCAAAGAACCGAGTACCTTCTAAAAGTAGTAAAGACTAAACTTATCAAAATGAAGTCCAAGAGGGCGGTAAAGAAACTCGAACTCTCCATAAGAAAGTCACAGAAACGAGTACCTTCTAAAAGTAGTAAAGACTAAACTTACCAATCAATCAACAAGCATAATTGATCAGAAACAGTAAAAAAAAAATAAAAAAAAATTATTAAAATAATACCTTGGAGCGGGGTGTAGCCTCTGTCCACGAGGTGGCCGTACTGAATATACCCAAGCAGCCCGCAGGCGCTGGTGGTCCAGAAGAGCACCTCCGGCAGCCCAAACCTCTCCGCAGCCTTCAGCGTGAAGCTCATCACCCCGTCTCCGACGATGCACGTCACCGGAGGCCCGCCGGAGGCGTTGAGTCCGGCCAGTAGGTCGCAGAGGGGCTCGAGGCACGTGGTGGTGGTGGAGGCGCAGAGGGAGGGGATGTCCTGGGTGGCGTCGGCGTCCGACGGCGGCAGGCCGTCGGGGATGGTGGCGAACCGGAAGTCGGGGAGGCCGTCGAGGGCGTGGGGCCCGCGGGATCTGAGGAGGCGGCGGTGGTTGAAGTCAGTGTTGACGAAGGTGATGTGAAAGCCGGCGTTGTGGAGGAGCTTGGCCAGCTTGAGCATGGGGTTGATGTGGCCCTGGGCAGGGTACGGTATGCAGACAGCGTGGGGTTTGCCTTTCTCCATTCTCGATATCGACCCCATTTTTTTTTCTTTTTATTCAGTGAGTTACAGATTTAGAATGAAGGAGGTGAGAGATGTATCATATATATGAGTATATATATAGAGCAAGTTGTTAATTTATAATAATTTAATTAATTTGATTAGGTGTGCAGAATATTATTTTGTATGATGAGTCAAGGTTTTGAATGTGGTCTTAATTTTGTGCAATATTGACTATAATAAGGGCACGATAATATAAAATAATTTTGTTGACGTGAAAGAAAATACAATTACCTGGGGACTCGGTCGTCCGTGTTTTGTCAACATCTTTATTTCGCATGTGATAGAAAAAAGGCCAGCGATATTGTCGGAGCACGTTTTAGCCCCAAGAGTAAAATTGACAATTATTTCTTAATATGCTCTTACTAAGTCAAATTAGTTGCCAGAGCACATTTTCAACCCACAAGGCAAATTAAAAGGAGGACAATGTTGTCAATTCACAAAAAAATGAAAGGGACATCATCTTCATCCCATGAACCAACTGGTACGTCCGCCATGAAAGGACCTCGAGCTTCACTAATTGTCTGCCACTTCGCTGCTGCTCGGATATTGAAGCCACGACGGCCGCATACTTTCGGTTCGCCGAAGTAAGCGGCTGATAGCCGCCGAATTTACCACCTCGCCGGACTGAGAACGGAGGTGCAACGCCACCGGACAAAAGGCATTTCCGGCCACCTCAAAGCCATGTCCGACGACCTGGAGGATGTCCGATCACCTGAGGGATTTCTGGGACGCTGTAAAAGACCTGTACACTACCAGAAGCCCCGATACACCGAGAAAACGAGCTGTTTTAGTGCCCAGACTCACACGAGTCGAGTGGCTACATGACACGACTCGTGTCGCGTAAGAGGGGGTCCGAAACGAGCTACGGCTTTTTCACACGACCCGTGTGATACATTCACACGAGTCGTGTGAACCTGGGAGCAGCCCATATGCTTTTTACGAACAAAAGTGTATGAAGAAAAGGGTAATGTGGACATGGAGGCATGCACATGCCTACCTTTTGGAGCTTCAATTATTGTTATTATAACTATAAGGGATCCAAATCAGCCATTTTTTTCTACGTGCATAATTGATTCATTAATTTCTCAACAAATATAGCACATATCTTTGTAGTATAGATGAGTAGGACTGATTGTATATAGTACAGACCAAACCAAATGTTGCAACATAAATAGCTAACTGAAAATAATAGTAATGTACCAAAAAGAAAATAAAAGCAGACTAATATTGTTGCACTAGAGAGAAGTTAAAACTTGCAGCAGTTAAATCAATAGGCAAACATTGCAACAGACAAATTGTAGCATTAACTTTTTGTTTCTAATGAAAATTCCATAAATAACTTGAAAACTAAAAACATAAGCATCTATAAGGTGACATCATTTGCAAGCAACATCTTCAAAACATCCAAATCTTTTAGCAAACAATCTTTATTCCAATCTGCCCTTCTTTATTGTAGTAGCTGCAACTTCACACCTGCAATAGTTTGTGAAAAATCAAACACCGGCCAAACTCATTCTACAAGTAGTTCATTGCAAAGTTGGATTAAATAAGAGCAGCAACGACATGATATTTCCCACATTGAATATACCAGGATGATCATTTTTTAGCATATTGTTAGCACAACCTAAATGATAAAACTTGACATCAAAGGTTAACATAACAAAAATGCATACCTGAAATCATATTTCAGTTCATTGAAACTCATCAAAAAAACTTGGTAGGGAATTCAAATCCAAAAAACTCATCGGACCTCTATCATCAGTATATGGTGGGATTTGATCTTCATTCAAGTTTTCTACCACAATTTGGCTTCTCTGACTGCCACATTCTCCGTGTCTATGAGTTGTGTGCCTGAGTCTCGCCTCAACAATTTCAAATTGTGATGGATCTCTAGTTGTTGAACTCAAAATTTTCTTCTTTTTTCTACTAGACGGTCTTCCTCTACCTTGTTGTACATCTGGCTCAAAGTTCAATGAAATCTCTTCATTAGCCAGCTCATGCAATTTCTCTTCAATATATTTCTTCCCACTAAGAGGTAATAGCTGATACTTTTCTTGCAAACTACTAAACAATCCACTCAAGATGGAATCATTAGTACTAGTCTGACCATCAACACAAAGAGATTCTCTTGTGTCAATGCGCCATTGTGGTTGTATAGCTGTAAGAGGTATTTCTCTTCCCGCCCAGGCACTCATCATGTGTGCACAAGGTAACCCCATAGTGGCCATAGAGCTACCGCTGCATGTCATACTCATCTTATGATTTTTTAACATCTCAAACTGTTGTGCTAACTTATCCAAGGCAATGAATGACAAACGAGATACAACTTCTCTAAAAAATGGAACATTGCACCTGTGAGGAACTTGATCCCTTCACTTGTTATTCTTACTTTGATCTCCTTAAGATCATTTTCAAGGAGAAGAAATATTTTCTGTTTGACACCTAACAAATTCCCAGTCGAGACGAATAAGTAGCCTTTCAATTTTGAATGTGCTCCTTCCGCTCTTGATGACGTACGTCTCCCAAAATGCATTTTTTGATCTGTCCACGCACTAACAAAATGTTGTTTATATATCTCGAAGATAATTCAAAATATCAACCTTTTCGCTATATACCAGCTCCATGTCATACCATGCTTGATTGAAAGCCTCCTTCGTAGAAGAGTACACAACCCTATTCCATGTGGCCAAAAAGTCTTCCCAATCTTCTAATTTACCAAAACCAGCTTTACATTTGGAAAGAATATTTTTCTCAATGTGCCAAACACACAACAAATTTGTAGCATTAGGGAAAACATCCTGAATAGCTTTCATCAATGCTAATTCTCTATCAGTTGCAATAACGGAGGGACAAATACCATCACCAAGCATTCTACGAAAGACACGTAATGCCCATTCATAATCTTTACGTCCTTCTTTTCTTAAAAATGCAAAGAACGAATAGAATGACGTATTAAAATAGTCGTACCAATGATCTCTAGTAATGGCATCTTATAGCGATTGGTCTTGTATGTGCAATCCATAACAAAAACAGTTGAATAACTTCTACTCAATTTAATCAACTCAGGATGTGCAAAGAAGACATGAGTTAAACAACCTTTCTCATCATGTTTATAGTAAAAAAGATATCCAGCCTTACCGAATTCTTCAAATAGTACTTGAATTATAGTACGTCCATGAAGGTTGTCCTTTGCAATTTTTCTCTTCCTATTATAAACATCTCGAGCAACAATCCGAGTGCTGGGATTTTTTTGCTGCACTAATGAGATAATCTGACGAGATTTAACTCCAGCTTTGCTCATCTCACTCACATCCATGATCTCTTCTTCTAAGAACACAAGCTTAGATGGATGTCTAGAAATATCTTTGGAAGCTTCGTGATTATGTGAATCACTTTTAAGGAATAGTTTCCAAAAACCTTCTTCTTCCATCTTCCCTTTTATCTGAAACGGACAATTTATGAGGCGAGTAGTTGTTTTCCTTTGTCTCTCTCCAGATGGGGCGTTTAATCTGTCTCGATATATTCCTCCACTATCACATCTAATAGTAACATATCTATTTTTTCTTGAACTCTTGATGGATAAACAATACTCTTGATCACTGTAAAATTGTTTTGCATCATTTATAAGATCCTCACGAGTCTTGTATGCAACATCAAACAATATATTTTTGTCTACATCTCTTGCACTCTTTTGGTTAATGTGAGGAGTTGAAATCAAATTCTCATTCTCTTCAAATTCATGATGTGCTATAAATGCCCAATTGGAGACTCTACNAATCTAATGTTGCAGTAGAGAAAAGTTAACTTACAACATGGAACAATAAAAGAGACACCAACAAATATGGAGTGGTTGATTGTTCATCCTTAATATTGGAATCCTAAGTTACTTTTGGAGGGAATTATTTGCTTGATATTTTTGGAGGGAAAATGGCCATGGAGATGGGAAGATAATGCGGGCAATTGTGTGAAAGAGAATTAGTAAGTAGAGAGTTAAAAGTGATAAATCAAGGAATTTGACTTAGTAAAGGCAGATTAGGAAATAACTGTCAATTTTGCTCTTGCGGCTAAAATGTGCTCTGGCAATATCGCTATAGTTCCACAAGTTTCTGTGGTCAAAGGATTTTTGATGTGATTTTCGGCCCAAAAGGCTGAAAAGCAATATGACGTAGAGGTGGCGATTTTTTTACACACTTGGATATGATGTAGAGGTGGCGATTTTTGGGACTAGTTTTATTTTTTTTTAATATTTTTATATTCTTTTTTTCTTGTATAAATTTATATATATATATATAATATTATTAAGTAAATCTAAAACAAGATTATGAATATATATAATTATTTATTTTAATTATTTATAAACAATTTCAATTATGAACAAGGATACAATATACATTAAAATATAATTAACAAATTGTTGACGGACGTTTCCGGTCAACGGTTAAACAGTTAGGTAATGAAAAGATAACAGGAAAAAGACAAAGGATTATGGTTTAATCACGATTTAATTAAGAGATCACGAGGTCGGCCTCTCGTACGAGGTCGGCACTTGCGATGTACTTACAATTTCTTACACGAGTTCCTTACAAATCTAGAGAGAGAAAGTATAGAAAAAGCTTTTACAGTTGAGGTTCAACAACCTAAAATAAATGAAGTGGGCTGCTATTTATAGTGGCCTTAAATGTGACACTGTTCAGACACTGTTCACCAGTCTTGTCGTACAGTGTTTTTGCAGAGCAGTTCGGCGCCTCCCTGACAGAATTTAATGCGATTTGAGGTTCTCCTCATCATTGCCTGACAGGCATTTAATGTGTGCATGGGGGTCATTTAATGCTGGCAGGCTTTATGTCTTGGCTAGGGGAAGTAGGTCAGCAGGCTAGGAGGCCACATCCAACCACCAATGATTACCCTCCAAGTGGCATTATTATACTATTATCGAGGTCGGCATTCCTCATTGTGGAGGCCCATTCTGAGACCCCAGGTCGGCACCTTTTCCTTATTTGTTCCTCCGGCTCCGGGGAGCCTTCCTCCAGTCCGTCACTCGTCAGGCCGGCACCGGGACTTTACTGTCGCAAACGCCGGGCTAACGGACGGACTCATATGGACGTCAAAGTCAAAAAGTTTCGGAGTCCGGCTCGGCACCTACACAATGGACCCGGTCTCCGGTTCAGCTCTCGAACTCGGGTGTCAACATACAGGCCCCCGAGCTCAGAGGGGGTGCCCTCAGCATCCTCTGTGAGGTCGCTATCTAAAAGTACATCCGAGGCCGGTGCACAACTCGTACTTTGCAAAATCATCCACCATTTGTTGCGCACATCCTTCCCAGACCCGAAACGACGGGTCATTTAATGCTTCGTGACCGTTACGCTTCCTGCCGTTCATGAAAAGTCGCGCCGGTTCAGAGCCTTTATACGTGTCGCTCGTTAATTCGCTCGCGTCAAACGGCGTGTCGTTTCAGCGAAGCGGCGGCTTTTGGGGCGCGTGACACTCACGCGGTCGCTTATGAACCGTTGGATCGTTTCTTTGCCAGCCATTGGATCGTGCCATAATTTTTAGATTTTGAATGCTGTGCCACGTGGGATGCTGCGGTTGGTCTTCCACGCGTATATATATGGGTCATCGTCCTCCTCGAAGGGTTTTCTTACCTTCGCGATTTCCGAGCAACTGAATCTCCGAGCAGCCAAATTTCTGAGCAGAATTTCAGAGCGATTTCTGAGGTTTTTGCGACTCCCTGGCGATCTTCACACCGGTAATTCCGTTTATCTGAGACTTTCTCCTTTGTTTTCTTTCGATTATGTCGAGTTCATCCGATCTTGCGACGAACCTCCCCGCCGGAGATGGCGGCTTCACGGCGGAGGAGACCGGAGAGTTAGTTGTTTACTCCCCTCCTACGACCGGGGCGGTGCAGCCGCTCAGAGTAACTCCGATCTCCGCTGTCCGCGTGACGCCGGCGGCGGCGGCGGCGGACCCGCGTCGTGGGGGACATCCAGACTTCCCCACGATCGAGATTATTGACCTTGGGTCAGGTCAGTCTGATGTCGAGGAGGCTGAGAAGGAGGCCGGTCCCGCCTCTCCCGTTGAATCCGACGTCGACGCCGAGCTGGTCGAAGAGACGCTTCGGGGCGACACCTACGGACGAGAGCGTGTTCCCATGGCGCGCGAGGATGCCGAGGTCGATGCTGCGGTTGAGGCCGCCACCACGGCTCCTCCCGGGTGCTGGTGCCGTCCTCCGCGAGCGTGGCCATCCACAGCTTCGGCAACCGCTTGGGTGACCCCGTCAGTGTTGACCGACCTCGATTTGGCCAAATTGAGGGGTAAGGCTTGTTTCGGCGCCGGGGTGAGGATCTTTGCTCCCTACGCGGGTGAGCGCATCCACTGCCCTCCGCCGGGTTGCATCGGCGTTTATCGGGCGAGCATCTTGCTCGGCCTCAGATTCCCGTTGCCAGGAGCTTTGAACAGTATCCTTTGCGACCTCGGCATCGGCATCAACCAGCTAGTCCCGACGGTTTTCGCCCGGCTTGTCAGCCTCATTGTCTTGTTCCGTCAGCAAGGATGGGCAGACCCGACTAGCGCCGACGTGGGCTCCCTGTTCGTCTTCAAGAAGTCCGGAGAGACCGGCAATTATTATAACTCCGTCGCTCCGGGCGTGGACAAGTCGTTAATTCATAGGGTCCCAGAGTCTCTGCACGGCTATATGCCAGAGTGGTTCTGGGTCGGTGGCGAGTGGAAGACGCCCGATGCAGCTCGGCACCCGTCCACCGAATTCATCACTGGCCCTTGTGAGTCATTTACCTATTTCGGTTTCGCTTTTCTGATTTATTGTCTTTCCTGCTAACAGGTCGGTGTTTGCGTTTCAGTCCAAAATCCCCGCGTGGAGCCGAGTGACGAACTGGTTGCGAAGATCGAAACCTTGCTAGGTCTCGCCGAGGGGAAGCGTTACTATCGAGACCTCGTCGCGGAAGAGAGTCTGATCCAGCACAACCTCTGCCCCGAATACAACAGCAAGTCCTTTGAGCCCGGTATTTCTCCTTTCCTTAACAGCAGTATATTATCTCGTTTTCTTTCGTTACTTACACCCGGCCTTTTATTTTCCTTTGGCAGTATACTATCCCCTCCTACGCGAGTGTGGGTTCAGTTCGGTCAAAGAGGCTACTAAATACGCGCGCGCCAATCCGAACCCGCTCAAGGGAAGAAAAATGGCCAGCCGAATGGATTTCTTGACGAGGCAAGGCAAGAAGAAGGCCTCGGGGTCCAATTGGTGTGATGGTACCAGGACTTGTCATGAATCCCCCCTTATGCTCAGGGTGCGGGGTTCGAGTCCTGGGGAGGACAAAAATCACAGGGAGTCCTACGATGGGTTTTCACTCTACGGACAGAGCACTGTGGAAGTCCATGAGTCCCCGGTGCATGGTCATGGCCCACCGGGGGCCCTACCCCCCTCCACGGGGAAGGCTGGCGGGAACGACCGTCAACACAAATATTTTTAATTACTTTTATTTTGTGATGTGTTATTTTGGCAAAAGTTCAAAATTGGTGCCACTGTCCAAAAACTCACCCATTATTGACCACTTTCAAACTAAGTTCAATAATTTGACAAATTAATCAATTTTGGTCCGTTTTTATCCGTACCTAGACAAAGACGTGACGTGGCATGACGTGGCACCTAATCAGATCAATTTTGGTCATTCCAGTATAATGTGTCACTCTCACTGCCACGTGGCCACATACAATTGGAATAAAAAAACAAAAGGTAAATTAAAAAGTGAAAATAACACCTAATAAATTCCATGTCATTTTTATTTCGTTCATATATAAAATTACTATTTTATCGTTAAGCCCTAATTAAATTTATAGAAATTGCCCTTCAAAATTAATCCTGGAGAAATTTCTTCAAATCTTCAAACCTCCTGTATCTAGTAAAGAAAAGAAATACGGAAACTTTTTGTTTACCGAATCTTCAAATCTTCAAACCTCCTATAAGGGCCGGCGATTTTATGGAAGAATTCTTCACACCTCTGTCCAGCCCCATAAATGCTCAAAACTCATCAAATATTCAACTCCTTGAGTTGCCATAAAACCTCCGGTCTAATCTTCAACCATCATCTGTAAAATAGCAAATTGAAATTCGATAATAAAACTCATAAGCCAGAAAAAGAAAAAAATTGCAATCCATTTCTATTAACTTCCAATTATTAATTGTCCAATAAGCAATTTTATTCCGTAAGAGAATGAAAAAGTAGGAAAAAATAAAAAGAAAACATAAACATGAGTTAATTACAGCTCTTTTGCGGGGGCCGAAAAGAGGGTACGGGAATCCGCTTCTTCAAGCGTAAGAGTCAGAAATTCCGAGTTCCGGCACATCTGGGGTGTGGATTATGGGAGTCAACAAGCAATTTTTTTTTTTTTTTTCCAGATTTTTTCATTTTCGGGGGTTTATGAATTTCAAAGGAAATTTCAGCCGCTCACGAGGAGAAAATTGACGCAATAGAAGAGATGGGAAAAAGAACGAGTTAAAAACAAAGCCCGATTAAGAGAGCTGATCCACTTTATTTTTCTAATTTTTCTTTTTTTTTTTCACTTTGATTTTACTTTTTTGTTGGAATTTTTTTTATTTTTTTTGGCTTATTTCCACTTTGGCATAATGAGGGTGCCACATCATGCCAGTGAAATAAACTAATGTTTTTTTCTTTTTTTAATCCGGCCATGTAGACATAATCACGTCATATAATAATAAAAAATTGACACGTCACGTCACATTAATTTTTTATCCAAGGTGCGGATAAAAAAGGATCAATATTGATGAAATTGACAAATTATTAGACCCAGTTTGAAAGTGGTCAATAACGGGGTGAGTTTTGGACAGTGGCTAAATTATATGACAAATTTTGAATTTTTGCCGTGTTATTTTTAATAGGTATTTTTTTAGCTTCATTTTAATAATAAATTATTAAAAATATACCAAAAAAATATTTTTCATTCATCAGTTAGTTTTAGTTATAGTTAATATTTTTTATTCATCATATATTTTTAATAGATATCCGCATCCCAGGTTGTTGGACTATAATGTAAAAGCCCGACTTTCAGTCAGAAAAGCTATGGAGCCATTGGATGGCTCTCTTGTGGAGCCATTGGATGGCTCCCTTGTGGAGCCATCCATAACTTTATATATTGACACATGTCAAATATGTATTTAATGCAGGTGACGTGTCAATACACTATTTGTGAATAACTATGGATGGCTTCATAAGTCGAGCCATCCGATTGCTACATAGCAAAATCGGACTTTCAGTTATTGGCAATATCATTTTGAATGAGAATTTAAGTTTTAGTCCATTACTTGTTTGCAGTTAATTTATTTATGCGAACATTATTTTTTTATTTTACATTGTAGATAATATAGTTCAGAGTCCGCAACAGTAAGATAATATTATATATCGGTCTCTTGTAAAATATAAATGTTGGTTCACAATCTAGAAGGGAATTGAACTCCCTGGTCGTGAAAGACCGTAGTGTGAATCTTCGTATTAGTTTATACTGACTAAATAAATAATCTATACCTCCTAGAGTTCTAATATGCATAATGCATGATTATAGCTCGTTTGACTTGTCTAAAAATTTTTCAATCTTAGAACACTTGCGATCCAACAATTTTTGATTTATTCAAACTGAAATTTTCACACATTTCAACTTTATAATTAATTTTTCATTCACATTAAAATAGTTTTGAAATTTTATTTAAAATCTTTCACTTACGAAATGGAGAACCTTCAAACTGCTACAAATTACAAGAGGTTATTACTAGCAATACGTTTTGTGNCTTATTACTCCAAAAGCACATCCTTGAGCAACTCAAAGTTCAAGTAGGAAGAGCCCCCAACCTTAGTCGCCTCCTCCGCCTTTCTCTTCCATTCCAATGCCTTCTCCTTCATCTTCTCCCCCTTTTCACCCCCCATCATTTCCCTCACCAAAACCTCCACTTCATCCCTTGTTACATTATCAATCCCCAACCCGATTCCCCACTCCACGCAGCTAAAACGACAGTTTGTTTGTTGTTCGGCAAAGAAAGGCCAACACACCATAGGGATCCCACCGATAATACTCTCCAATGTCGAATTCCACCCACTGTGCGTCAAAAATCCTCCAACTGTAGGGTGGCTCAACACCTGCATCTGAGGGCACCAACTTACCATAATGCCCCTATCATTTGTCTCGGTCAGAAAGTCTTGTGGGAGCATAGCAGAGTCGCCTGCAACGATATCGGGTCGTATGATCCATAGAAATGGGTACTTGCTATTTGCAAGGCCCCACGCAAATTCTGTCAGTTGTTGACTCGTTATGACAGTGATGCTTCCAAAGTTGACGTACACAACCGATTTCGGCTCTTTTGTGTCGAGCCATTGGATACAGTTAGAGTCCTCCTTCCATAGGCTCGATTTCATGGAGTCGAGCTGTTTATCTTCCATGAGGTAGAGGGGCCCAATTGGGAGCACACATGGGTACACGGAGGAGATAGTTTCTAGGATGTCTTTCTCCAGTGCATCGAATGTGTTGAGGATAATGGCTTTAGCTCTAGGGATGGTGTCAATTTCTTGGATAAAGAAGTTGAGCATGATGTCCTTTGCGTCCGTGGTTCGGATAAAGGACGGGATGTCTCTCAGTTTGATGTCTTTCACGCCGGGGACCCAGTCAAGGGTTGTTTCAAGATAGCCATTTGTTACTTGGCTCATGTCTGCATATCAAATTTTATGTGAATTTTGACGGTCATGGTTTGGAGTAACAAGGTAAATAAACAAAAGGGGAAATAATATGTAATTTATTATATGAATTATCTAGCTCATATGTATAGTTTCAGTTCCGCAAGTTATATATTTTTCATGTGGCGTAATGGACAAGGCAAAATGGACAGCATATTAATTATACATAAAAGTTTTGCATGTTTTGGCTTTCATTTAGGATGTGATAAAAAGAAATCTATCAGTAATTTAATTATGCGTGTGATATGAATAGTAAGAAAATAAGATATATACATTCATAACAGCTGGCTAGTGATAAGAGCATCTCCAATGTGACTTTTGACATTATAAAAAGTCATCAATATCATCAATTTTTGAAAGTGTGTTACTATTTTCTTCTCCAATGCATCTTGTCATGAACTCTTTCATGATGAGGTGAATGTCATTTAATGTTGACAATGTTGAGCACACTTTCTAATATCTAACATCATGTTAAACATGATGACTCATCAATTTACTTTATATTTGTTTTAAATTTTTATTTTTCTTGTATCAATGAATTATTAAATTGGTCCATCTATACAAATAACTACTTATCAAACTTATACATTGGAGATACTAGTTTCATTCAAATTTCTAGTCTTTTAACATTATTCCAATGTGGATTAACATTACAATCACTAATTGACATGTGTTAAAAATAATTTATTTTTTCAAACTCATAGCATTGGAGATGCTCTAACGCCAAACATGTTACAATGTGATGACCAACATGTTCAGTGACGGATCTGTAAATTTTATTAAGGGAAACATGATTTTAAATGTTAAATAACGAGCTGGTAGTTTAGTTGGAATAGCCATTTCATATAAAAATATGTCTACTTGTAAATATAAATGTCAATATGTGTCCCATCAAGGTTTCAAAAACTTGGAATATGTATCACCTTCAAATTTACTTATTTTTATTTTAAATGAGTTTTCATGTATTTATAATTTAAAATCAACATCTATAATAGATGGAAAAATAAGTTTTTTGATTGAAAATTTGATTTAAATTGAACTTTTGTAGAACATTGAATAGTATTTTTGTTGATGAGAACTAATAAAATGACTATTTAAATAACTAAATAATCGGTTTTATAAAATAAGAAATTGATTTCCAATTAAGTGGCCCACAGAGTAATCATTGTAAATATTTTTCAAAAATTATAAAATATAAGAATTGCTAGTATATTTTTCAATAAATAAATAATATTATTAATTTAATTGATATAGCATATAAAATAAGTTTTCATTATTTATATATTGAAAAAATATCTAAATTTTGTAGTGTTTTCATTTTATATGTATATATATAATGAATTTTTTAAAAAAATCAGGGGAACTCCCCCTGGACCTCATGTAGGTCGGGAGCGGGACAAACTTCTATTGATATTAAAGTATGACTGAAGGACAACCGAGATATGTATCACACATACATAAGACGAGAGCATTATCGCACGTAGTTCCAAGAATTAGCATACAACGTGGACCATACAGACAATGAAAATCAAATTCAATTGCTCCTCCAATTTCTGGTATGCTCTACTCAAGTTATCTGTCGGATTTTGCCAAATTTTCAATAAAATTTTCATATTACTGAAAATTGTAGTCCATAATATTTCAATATCTCGTCGGCCGTTATAAAACTAGTATTGGGTCATATGTATTTGCACAAATATAAAACACATTTTTATTTGTACTTATTAATTAGACATGTATTTCTATCATATAAAAAATATTACTTTTTCTTAAATTATTATCATTCAAAATTAATTGAGATTTAAATTTTATTTTAACCATGCAACGTTTACATTAGTAACATGAATAAAATAATTTTGACAAATATTAAGAAAATTAATATAAATAAAAAAAATTTGTGGCGTTATGATTTTTAGAAAAAAATATTTGTCAATCATATTTTTCTTCCAACAATGCAACCAAATATAGCAATTACAACTCTGAATTCCGAATGTGTCAATCAACTTTAAGTTCCAACATTAGCCGTTACACATCTGAATATTTTGCTACAAAATTTAGAATTAATTTAGTAACTAATCCAAAAAATAAATAATAAAAATATATATATTAAGGTGTCACGGTTTAGCAGATTAGAAAGTAATTAATTAAAAAAAATGTAACTCTTTATAGAGGGAAATAAAAATAAGTTTTACTAAATATTTTATTAAATGTATCAGCTAGTAATTATATATATATAGATTTACACTTTGTTGGACTAAACTGATCACATATAATTTAATAGATAAACATAATATAAAGGTATATATCAGAATTGTATGATCCAAGCAGCCCACACGCGCTGGTCGTCCACAACAAACTGAATTCATCAAAAAACATTAATAAAAAAATAAATATTATTACAATATATATTTACCTTTGAGAGGGGTATACCCTTTCTCCACAAGACTGCGGTACTGCATGTATCCAAGCAGCCCACAGGCGCTGGTGGTCCACAAGATCACCTCCGGCAGCCCGAACCTCTCCGCCGCCTTCAGCGTGAAGCTCATCACCCCGTCCCCGACGATGCACGTCACCGGAGGCTCGCCGGAGTCGTTGAGTCTGGCCAGCAGGTCGCAGAAGGGCTGGAGGCACGTGGTGGTGGTGGAGACGCAGAGGGAGGGGATGTCCTGGGTGGCGTCGGCATCCGACGGCGGCAGGCCGTCGGGAATGGAGGCGAACCGGAAGTCGGGGAGGCCGTCGAGGGCGTGGGGCCCGCGGGAGTTGAGGAGGCGGCGGTGGTTGTAGTCAGTGTTGACGAAGGTGATGTGAAAGCCGGCGTTGTGGAGGAGCTTGGCTAGCTTGAGCATGGGGTTGATGTGGCCTTGGGCAGGGTACGGTATGCACACCGCGTGGGGTTTGCCGTTCTTCTCCACTCTCGATATCGTCTCCATTTTTTCTCTCCTTTTTATTAAGTGATTGCAGTGTATGTAGAATGGAGAAGATGAGAGCGAGATATATATATCTCACATATATATAGAGCGGTTGTTAATTTATTTATTTGTAATAAGTAAGTTGTGGGAAATTCTAAGATGTGGTTAGTGTTTTTTTCTGACTTATTAATAATTAAATTAGAAAAAAAAAAATGCATCCTTTGTCCGTTATGTTTATTCTATACTAGTTGTACTTTTATCATTTATTTGTATTATTTTTTTTGGGTGCGTCTGTCGAAAATGCTGATGTGGCGTCTTTTCGATCTCACTTATAATTTTTCGAAAAGATAAACGGCCTAGTCTCTGATGCCACAGAATAAAGTCTCACGACACAGATAAAGCAACATTTAAGGTATGAGAAAAGTTATATTTTCAGCAACAGAAACATTATTAGCAATGGATACAAATTGAGATGAGCAGAACCAATCATTTGATTAGTTGTTTTGTCCTGTGATATGCATTAAGATGATACAAATTGGACAAAGCAGTTGTTTGTAGTAGTAAGTTTAGACACGGATATCAGATTAAAGTGAAGGTTGGGAACATATAAAACGTTTGTGAGTAATATGTTGGCAGCTAATTTGATATTGCCTATATGTGCAGCAATTGTATGACTCCCAGTTGACAGATTCACATTTATATAGATATGCTTAGGTGAATCCGAGAGGAGATATATCAAAGAACACATGATCTGTTGCTCCAGCGTTCAAAATCCATGTATTCTTAGATACGTTTCTATCAACAGTACAAGAATAGATAGAGACTTACCTGGAGGCTCATGATGCGCAGTTGCAACCATGGGTGTCATCACATTGTCCCCATTAGTTTGATTTTCTTCTTCAGACATTTTAAATGCAGAACTCATTGTTACTGTATATATATTTATGTAGCATATCTTGTGTATTATTTTGAGGCGATATATTAGGGATAATTAGTATCTTGTGATTAGTTAGTTTCCTTATACATCATGTAATATTGGTTATATATTTTGGTTAATGAGAATTCCAGAATCATCACGATTAGGGGATGAAACGGTTCTCCAAATATTTCTTTTGACATGGCATCAGAGCCATTTTTTCTTTCTTTCTCGTGATTTTTTTTTTCTTCTTTTCGGATCTCAATTTTCTGGACGGAATTAATTTCCCAATTATCTTGCTAGTGGAATTTTTTTCTGTTCAATTGGTTTCTCAACTTTGTTCAGAGGGGTTAATCCCAATTATCTTGCTTGGAATTAGTTGCTGGTATATAAATTCTTTGCTCAGAGGAGTTAATCCCAATTGGTTTCTCGGCGGATCTCAATTCTTTTCGGATCAAATTTATTTGTTCTCTTCCACGAGTCATTCATGGCAGACCAACGTACGACACAAGGCGGCGAGGTTATCGTTCGACGGTCCATCTCCCCCTATGACATCTCTTCTTCTGATAATCCCGGTTTGTTGATCACTCACGTCCAATTGAAGGGTGATACAAATTATGAGGAATGGGCTCGTAGTTTGCGGACGGCCCTTGGTGCTCGAAAGAAATTTGGATTTCTCGATGGTTCTATTCCTCGTCCTCTGCCGGGGACGGATATGTATGAAGATTGGCTTGCGAACAACCACTTATTGCTCTGTTGGGTCATTAATAGTATCGATCCCGCGGTCCGATCAACAATTTCTCAACCTGATTACGTCCCCGATCTGTGGCTGGCCCTTCGGGAGAGATACACCACTGTCAACGGCCCTCGCATTCAACAATTGAAGGTCGACTTGTCCGGGTGCAAGCAGGCGGGCGGTAGCATCGAGAACTACTATGGTCGGATGACAAAACTTTGGGACGAACTTGCAGGTTATGAAAGATCTCCGACGTGCCGCTGTGGTGGGTGCACGTGCGACCTTCAGACCGAGTGGGACAAACGACGGGAAGACGAGAAGGTCCATCAATTCCTAATGGGTTTGGACGGGTCCTTGTATGGCCCGACACGTTCACACGTGCTAGCCCTTGAACCTATGCCCAATATTAATCGAGTTTATGCTATGATGATTCAGGAGGAACGCATGAGGACAATTCTTCACGAGCACACCCCGATCGAGGCGTCTAGCTTCGCTGTCAAGACCAACCTCGCCGGTGTGTTGGGTGTAGCACCAGGCCACGGCCCGACGCCTATCGGCTCAACGGGAGGCAGCGGCCGTATTGCTGCCATACCGCCCACCGGTGGCACTACTTCGCTCGCTGCGGCTGTGACGGATCGTGGTGGTACGGCTGGGCGTTCGGCGGAAAATCTTACATGTTACAGCTGCGGGAAGACAGGCCATATCGCAGCCAAATGCTTCGAGGTGATCGGCTACCCCGAGTGGTGGGGCTCCGTCGACAGTGGGCGCGGGGGCGAAACCGGTCGAGGCAGCGGCCGGGGTGCTGGCAAACACGGGGGCGGCCAAGCACGTGCTCACGCGATATTCGGGAATGCTCCGAACGTGTTTTGTACCGGTTCAACTGGAGCACCTGTTTCGGCAAGCAGGCCGGTTTTGAGTGAGTCAGACCGTGCTGCTATCTCCGGTTTGTCTAATGCTCAATGGGAATCCATTGTCAATCTTGTTACTTCCACTCGCCAAAATTCTACGCTTTCTGGTAAGCGCAGTTCCTTTGATTGGATGTATGATTGTGGTGCTTCGCACCATATGACAGGTTTTCTGGAGTACTTTTGTGATATTAGGGATATCCCGCCACGTTCCGTACAATTACCTAATGGCACGGTTACTATTGCCAGTCAGGCTGGGACAGTCAAACTTGGCTCTCATATTGTGCTTTATGACGTTCTTTTCGTTCCTAGTCTTCGGTGTAGCTTGATATCATTATATCAATTGTTGGAACAGGCTGGTTGTGTGGCCACTTTTACTAATAAATTTTGTGCTATCCAGGACCGCACTACGAGGATGGTGATTGGAGCGGGTGAACAGTCGCTGTATTTCTTTCGAGGGACAGTCGTTGCGGCCGCTTCTCGAGTGACAACAGTCTCCACGGACTTATGGCATAGACGAATGGGTCATCCTTCTTCCTCAGTTCTTACTCAGCTTCCTTTTATTGATTCTAGTCTTTCGGCATCAAATAAAGCATGTGATGTGTGTTATAAAGCTAAGCACTCGCGTGCTAGTTTTCCTGTTAGTAGCAGTGTTGCTCATGCCAAATTTATGTTGATTCATTGTGACTTATGGGGACCTTATCGTGTTCCCGCTTTTAGTGGGACACGATATTTTTTTACTTTTGTGGATGATTACTCACGTGCTACTTGGATTTGTTTATTAGATGATAAAAGTGTTGTCTCTTCTACTTTACTGAATTTCTTTGCTTTGGTAAAACGACAATTTGGTGCCTTGGTTAAAATCCTTCGCAGTGATAACGGGACTGAATTTACTTGTATGCGTGATTATTTTCGTCGAGAAGGAATTGTTCATGAAACTTCCTGTGTTGGCACCCCTCAGCAAAATGGGCGTGTGGAATGTAAACATCAGCACATTCTCAATGTTGCTCGTGCCTTACGTTTTCAAGCTCATTTGCCTCTTGAATTTTGGGGTCATTGTGTCCTTGCAGCTGGTTATTTAATTAATCGCACACCCACTTCAGTTTTGTCCGGCAAAACTCCTTATGAGATGTTGTATGGAAAGTCTCCTGTGTTTACACATTTACGAGTTTTTGGATGTCTCTGTTATGCGCATAGTCAGGGAACGAATGGGGATAAATTTGCAAGCAGAATTCGTAAATGCGTATTTGTTGGTTATCCTGCTGGACAAAAAGGATGGTGTGTGTACGATTTGGATAGTGGTATTTTCTCTGTCTCTCGTGATGTTGAATTTTGTGAATCTAAATTTCCTTACATGATACCTTCTCCGCCTACCACTCCACCGGTTTCTACTAACTCTTGGCCTGCACCGTGTGATGATGTCGATGATACCCTGCCACATACTGGTCCTTCTGAATTTGGGACGCCTAGTAGTGTTGACGATAGGGGGATGGGCCTCCTGCGCCTCCCCAGGAGGAATTACTCGGTCGTGGTCATCGGGCTAAGCGCCCCTCTTCTCGCCTCACTGATTTTGTATCTCATACAGTCTCTCCCTCGTCCCCCTCGACTGTTTTCCCCGACTCCTCGCCGTCCTCAGGTACTCCTTATCCTATAGCACATTATATTTCTTGTGATTCATTTTCACCCGGCCATAAGTCTTTTTTGGCAGCTGTGACTTCGGCTATTGAACCTCAGTCCTTCACCGAGGCGGTTCGTGATAGTCATTGGCGCTCGGCCATGCAACATGAAATTCAAGCTCTGGAGAATAATCATACCTGGGATGTTGTACCTCTTCCTTCCGGAAAACATGCTATCGGCTGTAAGTGGATTTACAAAATTAAGTATCATTCTGATGGATCTATTGAGCGCTATAAAGCGCGTTTGGTTGTTTTGGGAAATAGGCAGGTTGAAGGGATTGACTATCAGGAGACTTTTGCCCCCGTGGCAAAGATGGTCACGGTTCGCCTTCTTTTGACTGTAGCTGCAGCTCGACACTGGGAGGTCCATCAGATGGATGTTCACAATGCTTTTTTACACGGCGACTTGACTGAGGAAGTGTATATGAAACTTCCTCCTGGTTTTCATTCTCCTCGACATGGTGAGGTCTGTCGATTGCGTCGTTCTCTGTATGGTTTGAAGCAAGCTCCTCGTTGTTGGTTCGCCAAGCTTGCTACTGCTCTTAAGCAATATGGTTTTGCGCAGTCTTATTCTGATTATTCTCTATTTACTTTACATCATGATTCTGTGCATTTACATGTCTTGGTTTATGTTGATGACCTCATCATCTCTGGGAGCGACCCTGCTGCTATTGCTTCCTTTAAAGAGTACCTAGGTCGCTGTTTCCATATGAAGGATTTGGGAATCCTAAAGTATTTTTTGGGCATTGAGGTTGCTCGGAACACCTCTGGTATTTTCCTATGCCAGAGAAAGTACACTCTTGACATCATTGTCGAGACCGGCTTACTTGGCGGCAAGCCAGTCGACTTTCCTATGGAGCAGAATCATCAGTTGCCAGTAGCCGAGGGACCTTTATTCTCTGATCCTGAGAAATACCGGCGGTTGGTGGGCCGTTTGATTTATTTAGCTGTGACTCGTCCCGACTTGTCGTATGCTGTGCACATGCTCTCCCAATTTATGCATAAGCCTCGAGAAGTACACTGGGATGCTGCTATTCGTGTGGTCAGATACTTGAAGGGTACGCCAGGCCAAGGGATTCTCCTTCGTTCTGACTGTGATTTGCAGATTTATGGTTGGTGTGACTCCGATTGGGCGTCTTGCCCTACTACCCGTCGGTCCCTCACCGGTTGGTTCGTTCAGCTTGGCCATTCTCCGATATCGTGGCGTACTAAGAAACAGCACACTGTTGCTCGTTCATCCGCCGAAGCTGAGTATCGCGCTATGGCAACCCTTACTTGTGAATTGAAGTGGCTAAAGGGTGTGCTGCGCAGTCTTGGTGTGCTTATTCTCAGCCGATTCGGATTCACTGCGACAGTCAGGCGGCTCTTCATATTGCCGCTAATCCCGTATTCCATGAGCGCACCAAACACATTGAAGTTGACTGTCATTTTCTCCGTGATGCTCTCGTCCAGGGCCTCATTTCTACTACTCATGTGTCTACTCATTCCCAGCTCGCAGACATCTTCACAAAAGCTTTAGGCAAACGCGAGTTTGATTTCTTCCTTGACAAGTTGGGCATTCGAAACCCGCATGCTCCAACTTGAGGGGATATATTAGGGATAGTTAGTATCTTGTGATTAGTTAGTTTCCTTATACATCATGTAATATTGGTTATATATTTTGGTTAATGAGAATTCCAGAATCATCACGATTAGGGGATGAAACGGTTCTCCAAATATTTCTTTTGACACTCATGAAATAAACTGTTAGTCATGGAATCAGTGGTAACATGAGGTGCATTAGTGACAGTGTTTGTGTTATCAACAATGACAACATGGACATAATGTTTGGGATGAATTCTAGGACCTCTAGGACCTTCCCAATTAGAGGGATAACCAGTGACTTGAAAGCATCTCTCAGAATGATGGTTATTATAACCACAGTGAATGCATTTTGGTTTGTTTCTGTCTCTGGGAAAAGGTGGTTTGTTGGTAGATTCTTTGGTAAAAGTTGTTTTCTGGTTTGTGTATTGTGGTTTGTTGACAGACTTAGCCATCATTGCAAAGGAATCAACTATTTTGGGAGTGTTTGTAAGGGTTCTTTCGCTTTTGTAGTGCCACATTCGATTAATAAGAGATAGCTCTTTATTTTATTCTTGAGTGCATTGCATTGCATATCATGTTATTAAGCTCGACTAAGTCTAATAAGTTCAATAAGATTATTTAGATGTCCTCATCTATTTAATCTTTTAAGTTAAATAATTTATGTAGATGTCCTCGTCTACTTAAATTATTTTAAGTTTCGGAAATTCTTTTGCTAAGCAAAATTTGTTCGATTTCAAGTCCAAGGGAGTGGACCTCAGCAACCAGACAGACTTCATTGGGATTGTGAAATCAAGTGTAAATGCTCAATTTCTTCATCTTATGCTAAGTTAGTTGCTGAGAAATGGAAGTTGCTTGACCTGGCTGAAGGCAGCAAGCATCATGAACTAAACTCTAAAATAAGAAAAAGTTGGGGCCTCAATATCAAAAGAAACTGAAACATTCTATTTGAAAATGCTTGCAAAACATCTTGTCTGTGAACTGCAACCTAGTGAAAAAAGGAATGGAGCTGGATAACACGTGCTTGAACTGTGGAGAGGGACCATAGACCTAAGAGCATCTTTTCTTCACTTGCCTTATAGCTCAGAAGATCTGGAGACTGGCACCAATCACCTGGGATGGCCTTCAACTTGAAACAGACAACTTCAAAACATGGTGGATGAAAATATGTTCCCTCAGCACGACCAGCATCTCTAAAGCAAGAATCCAACTATCAACATATCACTGCAAGAAAACGATGAAATTCCAACGGAAATATATTCTAATAGAATTCTAACGGCAATTCCAATGGATATTTCAATTATATTATTTCCGTTGGAATAATTCCAACGGAAATTCCAACAAAAATATTCCCTTGGAATGAGTTTTCCATTGGAATTTCCGTTGAATTTTGACGATTCCAACGGAAATTGCATATTCCAACGGAAATTCATACGGTCAAAAGCCGTTGGAAATATAGTTGTTGGAATCATCAAATTCCATCTAAAATTCCAATGAAAAATACATTCCAACGGAATATTTTTGTTGGAATTTCCGTTGGAATATCCGTTGGAATGATTCCAACGGAAGCTATACTATTGGAATATCCGTTGGAATTTTCATTAGAATATATTAACATGTGATTTTCCGTTGGAATATAACAATTTTTTTTGTAGTGTATATCCTCTGGTGGTTATGAAAAACAGGAATTTATGAGTGTTAAAAAAACTTGGAGAAACTCAAAGTCAACTGTGGATGATGCATTTAGTGATGGTTGGACTTATGTAGCTGCTAATTTCTGTTCATTGTTTTCTTTGGTCTGTTCTACATTTTTGTACAGCTAGTTTGATTGTTAATTTTGGGTTTATCTATGTTTTCTTTAATCTGTTCTATATTTTTGTTCCTTTGGTAGTTTAACTTTGGTTTGTGCTGTGAATTTCTACTGGGCCCTTAGGGTACAGTGGTAGATTTTCTTTTGTTGCGTCTTTTGCAGTGTTAATTGTTGTGATTGACACGGGTGTTGAAAGCCAAGCTTTTGGACTCAGTGCTCTTGCCACTGCCAAAAGTTTGGACTCAACTCTTGTTTTTGCTCAGTACTCTAGGACACCATGTGGTGTTTCTCCGAGTATTTCTTTAGGAAAGTCTGTTGGGCTAGTTGGCATTTGATGTTGTACAATATTTAATAAGTTTTTTTTTTTTTTTTNGTCGAAAAATTGCAAAAAAAAAAATAAAAAATATGAATGGTCGAAAGTCGAAATATAAAACCAAAAAAGAAAGAATGAAAAGATGGGGACAGCTTGTGGCGAGTGGTCGTTCGTCATTAAAGAACAACAATTTGAGATGAGACGGTACAGTACCACTCACATGTTTGGTTACAAATGGTACCACTCACATTGAAGAATAGCAACTTCAGATTTGAGCATGTGCCCAAATTTAAATTGTAAAACCAGCGGACATAATAAGACTCAATTGTTTTTTCTTTTTCCTCTTACATATTTTACGACACGAATCCTACTACGATAATGGGTTATTGTATGATTATGAACAACATTACCTTGGGACAAATTTATATATTATTATATTAATTCATTACAGGGAGTTAACATTTCGTATTTCAAATGTGAGATCCCATTACGATAGTGGGTTATCGTAAGGTTATGAATAATTTTAATGCCCTTGAATGAATTTTTAGTACTAACTTATAATATATATGAACAGGGGCGGATCTAGCAATTATAATGAGGGGGGCTAATTATTTAATGAAAACATATAAAATATCATAACGAAAAGTGCAAATACAAAAACATACCTTCATAGTTGTTCGTTACGAGTTTTCATGGCCTGATATCACTAGATAATAACATCATTATCAATTTTTAAGAAGGTTTCATTTTCTACATAAACTAGTAGTCTATCATTTAATCAATCGTCACTCAGAGATTGAATTTGCAATTTCTACACAAAAAAAATATATATATATTTGCCACTACCTAAAACAATAAAGAAGAATAATTTTATCTCCACCCAAATAAATATAAGATTTTGTTACCTTGTAAGTCGGCTTCTCGAATAATTAGAACAAAAATTGATAAGTTTTTTTTACTCTTTTCTCTCTTTTCACTCTCTTTTTTCCCTTCTTTTTTCTCTTTTTCTGTCTCTGCTCTTGCCGTCTTGCGAGTTGCGTGAATCTGCTACCAGCCTTTTAATTTATTTGTTAATAAAACCTTTATTATATAAGTCTTAATAGTTGGGCTTAATTAGATTGTTTTAATGGCAATAGTACATGGGCTATATATATAGGTCCTCTTTT